TATATATATATATATATATATATTCAATGTTTTAATTTGAGAAATCATGACAGATATTACACTTTAAATATAATTTGTCGAAATAAATAAAATATATGAATAAGAAATATATATTGTGCACAATCACTTATTATAATTTGTAATTAATATTACTTATTATAATTTAAGTTGTTATTATATTATTAATTATAATTGATATTTTTAATAAAATTAATTTATATACTAAGAAAAATGCTTTTCACATCATATGATTTTTTAGATATATATAATTTTAATAATGTGTGCAATTTTTAAATAATCCTTCAATATGCTGATTCTTCAAAATTTTTTTTATAATCCTTCAACATGCTGATTCTTCAAAATTTTTTTTATAATAAATTTTCGTAATACTATATTTTATTAGTTTTAGTCTTATTTATAAATTTATGTTCAATGCGTTTATAGTATATACATATCGTATACATATCGATATGTATATCGTATATGATATGTATATATTATAAACGCAATATATTTTTAAATTTCTAAATTAAATTTTTTTTACTAATAATCACTAAATTCTGCCAAAAATAAAACGATGATGAACGCGATAAAGATTGAATATATACGTAATATATAAAAAATTGACAAAATGCAAAAATATATAAAATAAAAAAATATATTTTTAATATTTAATAATAAAACAAATTTTATTTATTACTCTATTATTATTATTTTACTTACAATGTGTTCGATTTAAATATATTTAAATATCACGAAAAATATGAAAAATATAAAAAAATAATTCAAATGATAATTGTACTATTAGGTGGCACATGTTCCGTTAATATTTGCTATTATTGATATTTTAATATTATTAATTATTATTAATATTTATTTAATTTTAGGATGAAACTGAAAAACTTTGTAAAAATAATACTCGAATTTTTAAATGGATCTATATATTTTTTATTGTATATTCTTATTATATTAATATAGAAAATACTAGTTGTTTTCAAAATATTATACACATGTATTTAGCATGAATCAAAGTGTAAAAGGTTACGTGCTACCGACATTATTCGATATATACCATATATGATATATATGAAGAAGTTGCTTGATCGGACTTTGTACATTATAGTTATTTTAGAAAGAGTCAATTGTATATATGTGTAAAACAATCTACTATAAGACATTTCCATTTCACAGCAGGATATATTCTAAACGACTTTTTAAATATCGTTTCTCTTCATTATAAAAACTATTGAAAAAAATGCAAACAATAATATATAACATATAACTTATTGAAAAAAATGTATTCTTCCATTCTCAAAAATATTATAATAATATTATCATAATATAATAATATAATAATATAAATAAATTAATAATAATATAATAATATAAATAAATTAATCATAATATTTTTAATATTATATTATATATTTATATAGTATTATATAATATTATAATATATATTTTTAATATTTTTTTTTAAACATTGCTATTGCAATTATTCTACATGCGATTATAATTTTTATATATAATTTATTTTTTCGAGAAAGAAGCAAGCAAACTTTTTTTGCCCTTGTATAATTTCCTTAGTACAAATTCCTGAAATATAATACAATCTGATCAAAGTTTTCATAATATTCTCATATTAATACCAACTATATAATAATTTTGGAGTTCGATAAAAAATACATGCGTCATGTTTGAAAAAATCTCGATATATAAAAATATATAACAATATAAAATTTCATTTAAATATTTTAGTTTTGATATTTTCAAAATCAACTTAAGATTTAATAAATATTAGCATATAAATATTAGAATAGAAAATATAGAATATAATACATATATCTTCTATTGAATTACTTTTTCATATTTTTTATATTTTTTGAAATATTTAAATAGAAACATTTAAATTGAATACATTTATTTATACAAGCATTTTCAATGTAATTATTATTATTATTATTATTATTTTTTTTTTTTTTAAACGATTTTAAGAAAAGAGCAGATATTTACGATATATTGAAATATTATTTATATAAATGTACATAAATTACTTTCTTTATTATATATATATTTTTCTTAAATATTTATGTCTTTTCATATTTATTGCGAGTCTAGAAATCATTTATTTAAATAATTTTTTAAATTTAAAATACAATGATATATTCTTCTTTTTTAAATATTATATTTAAATATAATATATTTCTTATATTTCTTATATTTCTTTGAATGATTTTTAAGTATGTAATTTTGAATATATATTAAATATATTCATATTTATATATATATATATATTCATCATTTATATATATATATTCAATTATCTAATTAAAAAACTGACAAAATATATATCATATTTTTAAAATTCATTTTTTAAGAATAAAATCCTTGTTTAAAAATTTTCTTAAATTTTTTTTCATATAAAATCATGTTTTTTTTCATATTCTTGTATTTTCATATTCTTAAAAAAAATTTTTTTAATATTCACGTAATAGTTAATTCATTTTTCACATTTAATATTAAATTTAGAGGACATATCATTTTGATGTATTTCAAATTTTATAAGGAAAATTACAGAAACTCACAATTTACATTTCTCTTTTACATTTATATTGACTTTTATTTAATTGACAAGACAAATATATATCCGAATTTATTTTCTTCTAATCTCGAAAATTTCTAATATATATACTTCTACACATATGTATTAATTTGAGATATATAAGAAATATTCATAAACATAATGTTAATGATTAAAAAAATTTAATCATTATTTAAAATTTCATGCGAAATTTAAAATAAAAAATTAAAAATCAATAAAATTTTTAAATCTTTTACAATAAAATAGCAAATAGAACATGCAATAAAATGTTAAATATTTATATGTATATGTTTATAAATATTCAATATTATTTTTATAAGTGAATATTATTTTTATTTATATATTTAAAAAATTTTTATCTATTAATATAATAAATTACTATACTAATACCATATAAATTGAATTAAATAATTTAAAATTTGTTGAATAGATGAAACAAAAAAGTATAATTAAAATTTTAATAATAAATTGACAAATAGATA